AACCTTGGACGGCAACCCATCTAAGAGAAGGCAAACTCTAAATTGAAACCAGGAGCCAGAATGATCAACAAATTGATCGTGGGCCCCTCAAATATAAGAAGAAGAAGAAAGAAGAAGTATAATCTCGAATTGATGTGTTTCATTTATTGTGTGTGTGTCTATTTAAAAAATGCGGACTACTTCTTCTTCTGCTATGTATTAAGGGCCCAAGATCAATTTATTGATCCTTTTGGCTCCTACGCATGTAGATGGGATTTGCTATTTATCCCTCTATTCTTTGCCCTTTTTGCCTGTATTGAATCTCTCACCTACTTATTTTCCGTCGCAATTCTTTTGCTACCTTCTCGGATACTGCAGTTTTTTAAATTTAATTCTGTTTTTTCTGTATTTTTGTTCGCTGACGAAGGCTTCCTGCCGACACGTTCGTTGGTTTGTTGCGTTTTATTTTTCTTCAGGTTTTCATATATGGTACTTTGTTTCACTCATTTCCTTTTCTGTGAAATGGAGAGCGTGCTTCGAAGAAAAAAAAACAACACAATATTTCTGGTTCTAGAAAAAATTACTAATTGTTAAAACGCTTTGCTTGGCAAAGCCAGCGAAAGTAAAATGTGTTTTGTTCCAAAGACAGCGTCCGATATAGGTTGTAAGCGTGTTGGTAAAATAGAGTAGCTGGCCCTAGATAAATTTCGTTCCGAGTTTTTTTAAAATTTGTGTGTGTCTTGGTCGGGTTAAATAAGCTCACTATTCTCTCTGCAGTGGATTCGATCTCTATTTTGGGATTCGCTCCATCAAAATTTGTTTAACTAGTAGATATACCGGTACTATGAGCTTTTCCTATATTTCCTAAAGTCTCTTGGTGTTACCCGAGGGAAACTAGACAGAAAAAAAGAATTCAAATTCGTTACAACGTGTCTGAGTATAACAAGTTTTTGTCCAATTTTGGAGATTTGAAAACACATGTATTATTTTATGGGGAACCAAGACTTCACTCAAATGTTTTACTTCTCTCTAGCCCCTACCCCGGCCCTACACCGTCCCCATCACAATCCAAAACTGTCGGTACAAGTGAACTCAGAGTCTGCCTTGCTGGTCACGTTTCCCTCTATATCCAGAAAGATGTGTTATGGGCTAAGCGTGTAATCCAGGCATTCTACAAAATGCCTGACTGGACTTAGGCAATGTTCATAATGAAATGAAAGCGATCGGAGATTTTAAAAACACAAACAGCAGGGTGAAAACATCTTAAAATATAAATGCCTATAAGACATTTTCTATCATATGTCTAGCAGTCTGGCATATGTCTGGCATATGTCTAACAGTCTGGAATATGTCTAATAGTCTGACATATGTCTGGAAGTCTGGCATATGTCTAGCAGTCAGGCATATGTCTTGCAGTCTGGAATATGTCTGACATTCTGGTATTTGTCTGGCATATGTCTGACAGTCTGGTATATGTCTGACAGTCTTGGATATGTCTGGCAGTCAGGCATATGTCTTGCAGTCTGGAATATGTCTGGCAGTCTGGTATATGTCTGACAGTCTTGGATATGTCTGGCAGTCAGGCATATGTCTTGCAGTCTGGAATATGTCTGGCAGTCTGGTATATGTCGGGCATATGTCTGACAATCTGGCATATGTCTGACAGTCTGGCATATGTCTGACAGTCTGGCATATATCAAACAGTCTGGCATATTTCTGGCAGTCTTGCATATGTCTGGCAGTCTGGTATCTGTCTGACAGTCTGGGATATGTCTAACAGTCTAGCATATGTCTAGCAGTCTGGCATATGTCTGGCATATGTCTAACAGTCTGGAATATGTCTAATAGTCTGACATATGTCTGGAAGTCTGGCATATGTCTAGCAGTCAGGCATATGTCTTGCAGTCTGGAATATGTCTGTCATTCTGGTATATGTCGGGCATATGTATGACAGTCTGGCATATATCAAACAATCCGACATATTTATGGCAGTCTGGCATATGTCTTGCAGTCTGGAATATGTCTGGCAGTCTGGTATATGTCGGGCATATGTCTGACAATCTGGCATATGTCTGGCAGTCTGGTATATGTCTGACAGTCTGGCATATTTCTGGCAGTCTGGCAGTCTGGCATATGTCTGGCAGTCTGGCATATGTCTTGCCGTCTGGCATATTTCTGGCAGTCTGGAATATGTCTGGCAGTCTGGCATATGTCTGACAGTCTGGCATATTTCTGGCAGTCTGTCATATGTCTGGCAGTCTGGCATATGTCTGGCAGTCTGGCATATGTCTGACAGTCTGGCATATTTCTGGCAGTCTGGCATATGTCTGGCAGTCTGGAATCTGTCTGACAGTCTGGGCTATGTCTGACAGTCTAGCATATATGTCTTGCAGTCTGGCATATTTCTGGCAGTCTGGAATATGTCTGGCAGTCTGGCATATGTCTGTCAGTCTGGCATATTTCTGGCAGTCTGTCATATGTCTGGCAGTCTGGCATATGTCTGGCAGTCTGGCATATGTCTGACAGTCTGGCATATTTCTGGCAGTCTGGCATATGTCTGGCAGTCTGGTATCTGCCTGACAGTCTGGGCTATGTCTAACAGTCTAGCATATGTCTGGCAGTCTGGCATATGTATGGCAGTCTGACATATGTCTGGAAGTCTGGCATATGTCTAGCAGTCAGGCGTATGTAAAACAGTCTGGAATATGTCTGGCATATCTCGAACAGTCTGGACTATGTCTGGCAGTCAGGTATATGTCTAGCAGTCTGAATATGTCTAGCAGTCTGAATATGTCTAGTAGTCTGAATATGTCTAGTAGTCTGAATATGTCTAGTAGTCTGAATATGTCTAGCAGTCTGTTATATGTCTAGCAGTCTGTTATATGTCTAACAGTCTGAATTAGAAATAAATTACTAATATAAGGCTCTGTATTATCTTTTTTTTTAAATAATTATTTTAACATTTTGTGTTATACATGCACTGAAGAAATCCCGCCAACCCCCACCCCCAGGTCCCGTAGCATGTCGATGCAGATGATCTGATATTATTTTGTAGGTCTGGAATGTTCCAATTAAATTGTTTCCAGCCTTAAAGACAAGTTAAGATTGCGCACGTGAAGCCTCGCCACAACCAAGATCAAGGTCGTGTAGAACGTGTGAATATTATGTTTTCAAAATATGTTCACGACATGGATGCAAGACGAGACCAGCTGTTCTCGGAGGGTTGGTCCATGGTTTGCTCAGTAGAAGATCCAGGCCTATCGTGCTGGCATCGTATTGAGCCTATCATGCTGGTATCAAGAGGTGTCTATCATGCTGGTATCAAGAGGTGTCTATCATGCTGGTATCTAGAAGTCTCCCTATGATGCTCTTTTAGGATGTAGACTAATGATTGGCTTACAGACATCACATCAACTTCAAGAAGTTTTGTAGAAAGCCACGATTGAACACTCACTTGCATGAGGTCGTTGAGTCAGTTTCAAAATCTTCTACTGCTCTTTTCAAGGCACCTCCAGCCCCTATAGATCTTTCTACAACACCGCCAGTCTCTGCAGATCTTTCTACGGCATCCCCAGTTTCTACATATCTTTCTACAGCACCCCCAGTCTCTACAGATCTTTCTACAGCACCCCCAGTCTCTACAGATCTTTCTACAACATCCCCAGTCTCTACAGATCTTTCTACAGCACCCCCAGTTTCTACATATCTTTCTACATCACCCCCAGTCTCTACAGATCTTTCTACAGCACCCCCAGTCTCTACAGATCTTTCTACAACATCCCCAGTCTCTACAGATCTTTCTACAGCACCCCCAGTCTCTACAGATCTTTCTACAACACCGCCAGTCTCTACAGATCTTTCTACAACATCCCCAGTCTCTACAGATCTTTCTACAGCACCCCCAGTCTCTACATATCTTTCTACAGCACTCCCAGTCATCATAGATGGCAGGACGATGTCATCATTGATGTGTAGGACAATGTCATCATAGATGTGCAGGACAATGTCATCATAGATGTGCAAAACGATGTATATATTTTGGGGCACAACAATACTAATAATAGGTTTCTGACAACAGCTTTATACCAGATCTCAATTTTCCTGAGTAAGAAGCTATTACTGACTGACACCAGAAGAAATTTCGATCTCTTTCTGGTCAGCTGCAGCACAACATTCTACTAGAAGTGGGCAAGGAATTGTTAACAGCATGTATAACACCAACTGCCAAAATAGAAAGTGCTTTGCTGTAAACGAAACAAAGTGTACGATGTGATTCAAAATGCCATTCATGTTCAGGGTGTTGCAGTAGAAGGGCAACAAGATCACTAACAGCCGTCAGGGTGTTGCAGTAGAAGGGCAACAAGATCACTAACAGCCGTCAGGGTGTTGTAGTAGAAGGGCAACAAGATCACTAACAGCCGTCAGGGTGTTGTAGTAGAAGGGCAACAAGATCACTAACAGCCGTCAGGGTGTTGCAGTAGAAGGCCAACAAGATCACTAACAGCCGTCAGGGTGTTGCAGTAGAAGGGCAACAAGATCACTAACAGCCGTCAGGGTGTTGCAGTAGAAGGGCAACAAGATCACTAACAGCCGTCAGGGTGTTGCAGTAGAAGGGCAACAAGATCACTAACAGCCGTCAGGGTGTTGTAGTAGAAGGGCAACAAGATCACTAACAGCCGTCAGGGTGTTGCAGTAGAAGGGCAACAAGATCACTAACAGCCGTCTTGTTCTTAATATTTGATAATCCTTGTTTAAATTTTATATTTTTTTTTTAAAACGCTTGTCTCTTTGTGTGTTGCTAGACATGGCCTGACGATTCTTAAAATTGTTAAATACATAAACCACTGTACATTTTGCCCAGGGGTTCTATAGAATGTCTGAATTTCACACTTAGCCGGTAACATATGCAGCAAAGCTGCTCATTTCAATTCTATTTTAAGCACACTATATGTTATCTTTGTATTTGTACGATATTTTATACTTAATCTTTGCCATTATTATAATTTCAGGCACATTTCATTGGCATGGACCAATTACCCATCAGTTCAGATCAAATTTTGTTGATGTAAGTGAGACAACTGGTACGCTAAGCGACAACGATTCTATGGCCATACGACCACTAGTGTACACCAAGTGACTACTATTTTATCACCAAGAGACCACTAGTCTGTCACCAAGCTGGAACTAAGAAAGATACCCCACAGAAGCAAAGCCACTCTTGTGAGCAGTGGCAGCAGATCGTCCCTCAATCTCTTACCCAAACTGTCTCCCAAAGTGACAACGGGGAAACCAAACACGTCCAGCCGCGTTGACTTCAGTGACAAGACGCCGGGCTGGCCGAATGTCCACGCCATGTCCGCCCCGTCACTCTACACAACCATGTCGTCGTCACCCACCCCGTCGTCATCCATCAAAGCTGGCTCCTCGGCGTCCAGCCCTCCCATTATATCCAGGCGAGGCACATTGGTCACGCGGCATGACTTCCTGCACGGCAGAGTGATCGAGTTCCCTGACTCCTCCGGTACGGAAATGTCATCAGAGAGAAGGGCCGTCAGGGACGATTTACGCTCAAAAATCTGGTTGTCCAACGATCAAAACAGAAGCGATGTTCGTACTGCGAGGACTAAACGTTTGGAAACTATGAACCTGCGCGGGGCACGACAGGCAACTAAATCAGTTCTGAACAACTCTCAATCATTGAGCAAAAAATCAGATTCCGTCAATGATTCGGGGCAGGCGTCCAGCTCGCAGGAAGCATTGCCAGGGTTGTCGTATGAGGACAGGGCGAGCGAGTTGCCGACGACTGAGAGCATAAACCTCGGTGAAGACAGAACGTTGACCGCCGACGACACAGAACGACGGCAGAACTTTGAGAAATGCAGGAACTGGATAGACACGCTGCCCAATAAGTTCTCTAGCATGCACATCGTCCAGGAAAGGGCCCCACTAACACACGATTATTGAAGACGTCTTGCTCTGAAATATTACTCATTTCTAGAGAGTGTTTAGCCCTTAGGCTGACCAGTACGGTAAAATAGAATTAAGCGCACATACACTTGAAGATTATTAAAAATAATTCCTGTGAAGGTGTTTCCCCTTAAATTACGACACATTCTCACAACCAGTTTGACTTATTTGATGACACGACGAGGCCATAGTCAACACGAGGATGTCAACAAACACATGGGGATCTTTGCCCGCGACATGACTCCAATGCAATCTGTGTTAACCTTAAACATCATTCTGACAAGACCTTAAGAAAATCCCACGGAATAATTCAATACTATTTCCTTTGCCATGGAATGGGTGCTCTTAATGATATGTTATTGTTTTTTTGTTTTTGTTTTTTTTTTGCTACCAGTCATCTTTAACTGAGAATATTCAATGGGCAGAAATAGATTAGTGACTCGTAATGTCTGAAATCTAGTGTCACAAACCATCTGCAAACCCTTCGCAATATCTAATGTGATCTAATGAGTTCAGAAGGCGGATAACATTGGCACAATGAAACCTTCCGACTACTCCAGCGACGCCACTGGTGCCAAGCTGTATCATCCACATGATTTTCTCTTGGGTTTTCCAGCGGCGTCGAGAGGGGCCATATACTGTGTAGGAAAACCAGCTTATAATCCTAAAAAAGAATAATCGCAGGCCTTGTAGACTTCGTCTACACCATCTTCGCATTGTGACGGACGGATGCCAGCAAAAAAGAAAAAAAGTGTCCCGACTCACCTGTGAAAGTTTGTGTTATCTAGTGTGTCATGACACATCAGTTTGAATTACTACACAACACCACGACATGTCTATGAATAGTTTGTGTACCTAAAGTGTACCGACACACATCTGTCTTGAAAGGCTACTCTTTTTGGAAAGTCATAAATTACACCGAATTGAAGGAACAGGATCTATTCGGTACGAACATGATCTATTCGGTACGAACATGATCTATTCGGTACGAACATGATCTATTCGGTACGAACATGATCTATTCGGTATGGACTGATCCAATTAGGAATCAAAGACGGATTAAAAGAAGCACCGGCTGAAATTAAAGACATGTTTATACAATTTAACACTTTAAGTCGTCGACAAAAAATGTAATTATTGTCAATATATTTAACATATCGACCTAACTATAATTCTGGTTTAAACATATCAGTGTTATTGTGGCCTAAACGCATCACAAGTGAATGCCGCACAACTGTGTATTGTGATTCCTTGTATGGTTGCTCTTAACTCAAAATTCATAATTGTGACTCATGTTTATTTTTGTTGTATGGTTTCACAGGTCGAGTCCCCACTCAGGTGTTAATCTCTGTGTGACAGTTCGGGTCTCCACTCAGGTGTTAATCTTTGTGTGACAGGTCGAGTCCCCACTCAGGTGTTAATCTTTATGTGACAGGTCGAGTCCCCACTCAGGTGTTAATCTTTGTGTGACAGGTCGAGTCCCCACTCAGGTGTTAATCTTTGTGTGACAGGTCGAGTCCCCACTCAGGCGTTAATCTTTGTGTGACAGGTCGAGTCCCCACTCAGGTGTTAATCTTTGTGTGACAGGTCGAGTCCCCACTCAGGTGTTAATCTTTGTGTGACATGTCGAGTCCCCACTCATGTGTTAATCTTTGTGTGACAGGTCGAGTCTCCGCTCAGGTATTAAAAACCTAATGATCCAGACCAATGATCACGGACATGGAGAACTAAAATAATGTTTATGTCAATGCCTTATTTAAGGGCCCAATCAGTGTGCCCTAGTTTATGTGAGCTTTCAAAGTGCTCTGTCGCACTCCTCTGCTTCCCACTGATATTGAGTTGGGACGCATTTCTTCATCATTTTGTTTTATGGATAACTGCATTTAAAACTGTACATATCAAACTATTGTCTCATCTGGAAACGGAATTCAATGTGAAGGTAGTAAACTTTAATTTTTGGATGGAAATGTGTACACATGTAAATAACGTTTGTCTGCATTGAAATGTGTATATATCTAACAATAGTCTTTCGGCATTGAAATATGTACACGTGCTTCTTAATCTGCCAGGATTGAAATGTGTACTGTACTCATTTAACTATAGTCTATCTGGAATTGAAATTTGTACATACCTAACTATAGTCTTTCTGGATTGAAATGTGCACAAATGTAATTATAGTCTTATGGATTAAAATGTTTACACATTATGGAAATATGTACACATATAACTAAAGTTTCTGCATTGTGTGTACATATCTAACTACATTGTCTATTCCTAACTAAAATTTGTACATATCTAACCAATAATTTATCTCGATTAAAATTTGTACACATCTAACTATAGTCTATCTGGATCAAAATGCTGGATACAGAAAAGACTTATATTTCAATAAGTAATTTTTGCTGTTGTTTTATTTTATATAATAATTATTATTTTTATGAATCACTACATACTTCATTCCTTCAGATTTTTTCCACCTGTTTGCTGAAATTTTTTTTTAATAAATTTTTTTTTTTTACATATCAAGACACAGTGAAATGTTTGGCCTAATATATCAAGACACAGTAAAATGTTTGGCCTAGTAATAAATAACAAATGAGGTCAGATCTTAACAGTCTGGATGCCATTACACATTACATGATAGCAGTAGTACACACAAACTTCAATCTTGCTCTTATAAGCAACCTTTTATTACTACTGGCAGCAATGTTATTAATCTTACTTTATTTATATTAAAGTTCTTTTATGCAATGAAGTTATAATTTTACCATATAGACTTTTGTCCAGATTATATGGTTAATGTTAATTGAATTTTTACCATGTTTCTTTCCGGAATGTCTGCAAGTTACAAATAAACTAAAGGGAGCTAACGCAACTTATAACAAAATCGAATAAGCCTTTAAAAGGATTCTTGCCCTTTGGCCAAAAAAAAAAACAACCCGTTACGTATTACGATTACAAAACTTTTAAAAAGCCCACACACGTCTGGTATCCTTTGATAATGTTTAAGGAGTCCAAAGCCTTTACTCCACCCACAAACAATGTGACCGTAACATCGTCATTTTCCCAAAATAGGCTGACCAAAAAGTACCTGTATAAAAGAAACGTGGCCAAACGGGTTATTGAACGGTATCCTGCTGTAATTTTGATTGCACTCTTAGGAATGCTAGGCTCTCAAACCAAAGCTCTCGTAAGTGATAATATAACCTGAGTTTTGAAAATACTGTCAGGAACGTTAGTCCAGGGGATCTTAAACTTTAAAAAAAAATGTCATTGACGTTCTTTCCCCAGTCAGATAGAGGCCACCTACAGCTTCTAAAACAAATTTTGAAAGCAAAAACTATAAATTACAAAGGTGTGCCAGCCCAAGGAATGCCTCACACCTGTTGATGGACGCCACCTTAAGACTATCGTTCATGATTGAATCCTATAACTTATGATCAGTTGCCTTGTCCTGCTTACTGACTTTCAGTTTTTCATCTTCTGTACAGTGATGATAGATATTATAAACTCTGTCCTTCAGGTGGCTTAGAGATCAGTGTGAAAGTGCTGATTCCTTCAGGTAACTTAGAGATCAGTGTGAAAGTGCTGATTCCTTCAGGTGGCTTAGAGATCAGTGTGAAAGTGCTGATTCCTTCAGGTGGCTTAGAGATCAGTGTGAAAAAACTGATTCTTTCAGGTGGCTTAGAGATGAAAATGCTGATTCTTTCACAACTGAACACAATGCAAAGATCAATGATGATGGAAAACAGAGAATAAAAAGAAGAGAAATGTGAGGATTATTTTCATAGCATATCATTTTATTGTTTTGTTTTGGGGGGGGGGGGGAAATAGAATAAAACAGACAATTGAAATAAAAACAAAATAAGAAAAAAAAATAATCAAAAATTACATTTAGTATTGAATTTTTTTTTGTGAATTTAAAATGTTACAGAAACTAACTGGGGGGGGGGGGGAAAATAGAATAAAACTGACCAATGAAATGAAAACAAAATAAGAAAAAAAAATAATCAAAAATTACATTTCGTATTGCATTTTGGTTTGTGAATTTAAAATGTTACAGAAACTAACGCAGCACCAAAAAACACAAACAAACAAAAATAATTTTTAGTCTCGTTCGTCCATCACATTTCTCAATTGTAAATAATGAAAAGAAGAAAATTAATGTATATATATATTTTTAAACAAATGCATTTTTGTACATTAAAAATTTTCTTCATAAATATTTTAACATAACGGAACAATATTTTTATATCACCAAAAATGTTTAAAAAAATGTAAATCAAGGAAATAAAATGACAGAATTAAAGCAGAGCATACAATCAACTTACAAGGACTTTCTATTTACTCCACTAGACATTAACGCATATCAGTCCCATGAATAAGTAGTATACACAGACTTTGGTTTTGTATTGATGCATGTTTAAGATGTTATTTCGCTTAACTAAACACTTTCTATCAACTCAATTTTCTAGGTCACAAAAAATGACATTTCAGAAACCTAATAAAATTAACCTGGGGTTGCCATTAGTTTTAAGCTAAGACCTAATCAGATTTTCTCTGGGTTGCCATTAGTTTTAAGCTAAGACATAATCAGATTAACTCTGGGTTGCCATTAGTTTTAAGCTAAGACCTAATCAGACTTTGTCTCCGAACATCAGGCTTGCAAATATTTTTAACATGCAGAACAAACATATCAGTGAACAAGTTCTTATTTTGTTTATGATGTGTTTAAACAAAAACCTCTTTCAGCCTTCCATTGATTGTTGCCACACCAAGTGAATCCCTCTTGATTACTCTTACCATGCATTTATTCCGTGCTTGTAAAAGTTGACCTTAAATTAAAGAAAGATTTCCTAAAACATTACAGGACAAAATCATGAATGAATGATTTAAAAAAAAAATTAATCTATATATTCTTAAATCATGCAGAAACAACTGCCCAAAGGGACATGACTCCGTCATAAAAAAATTTACTAAGTTTTGGAATCTAGCTGATGATCAATGAAGTTCTAATATTAGATCAAAACAACTCAACTATCAGATATCGCAATCAAACGCTAGGCAATCAAACTCTAAGCTAGTAAACCCTGGGGATTTTCCCTGCAATAGACTTAAATTTTACACATTTTATTGTAATCGGGGTACTATTTTAGGGTTGGTTAATACAGCAGAATTGCAAAGTCTATAATTTGTTGATTTACAACTCTCCCTACTGGACAACTAATTATAAAAAGTGTTGGACTGCAATAAAGCTTTAAAATATATTAATAAGACACGAACAAATAATTAATAAGACAACTAAACATCCTTGTAACACAAAGTTTCAGAATAATTCTACATCACTTAAAGTTGACATATCTTTTTTTGAAAAGAAAAAAAACAACCAACAAATTAAAGAAGAATCGAGAGCGAGTTCCTGAGCTACTTAATCTTGAAAGAGTAGTTAAATGAGCATTCTGATCTGATATCACTAAGATGAAGCTAAACAGTGAGGTCACAACAGTTGCCATTAACTCCTATAACATTAGTTCACCCCATAGGGTTACTATTACAAGTAGTCTAGCAATAAGACACATCTACATGTCTGACAGTAGAGCACCTCTAAATGTCTGACAACAGAGCATGTCTTAAATCAGGACTGTTTAATCCATGGGCCACAGGATGGGAAATTTATGATCGCCATTTAAATCATTTCTGCAATATGTATTTTATTTACAGATCGGTTGTGTCATTGGGTAGTCAATAAATGACCCTTTTCCTCTTGGAGATAGTTTTTGCTTCCACAGTCCGTCTCATATTGATTCTGACACTGTACACGGGTACACTTTC